GACAGATTTCTTTACTTGTGCGATCATGTATTGCGGAAAAGCGGCAAGATCAAAGGGCGCTGCCTGCCCCCCCTGACCGTAGTGTTTCTATAGAAGCTTTGGTCAAGTAAGGCGATATCGGCTTCATTGCTACAGCGAAAATTAAATTAAAATGGAGAACTCTAGATAGGATGGATGTGTTGATTTCAACGCAAATAGGCTTATTGAGTACATTTTTGCAGCTGATGTCATTCCTTCAGGTAAAATTAATCTTACAGAAGGATACTTGTAAGTAATGAACACCCGCTTTCGTAGAAAAAATTTGATCGCAAATGAGTAGAAAAAGCGAAATAATCAAAACTTCTCACGTTCAGATTTTTTGGGAGAATCGGTAAAGGAAGTGAACTATGAAAAGAAAAACTGGGGTCACCGTGCATCCAAGAGAGACAGTAAAATCCTCGCCAAGTTATTGAAGCGGCGTCCAGCACTAACAATGGGCGCGAACGTCCTTAACTTGTCAAATGAACATCGTAACTGTAACTACATAGAATAACTGCAAAACAGTAGGGGGCTAATAATTGGGATAAATCCCGTCTTCCGTATATGTGGGTGAGATTACTGGCTTATTTCCAAACACGTAGTAGCTCCGTGTATGATAAAAAACAAGCAACAACAAAAAACAGATATTAAGTCATACCATTAGATTCAATGCAAACGTAGGTTGAAATATAGTCATGCAAAAAACAGAATGTATACCGAAATTTTGTGATGACGAGTTTGCCTGGTTAGACCTCGGTTACTTAGCTAAACCATGACCGATAAGACTTCTAACTTTTACCAATACTGGGTTGCCTTTCTTTTGTTTCCTCCGTATAACATAACTAAACTGCTCACTACTCCTTCACTGCCGAGGAAGTCGCCATGTTTGACCTCAAGTGCACGCATGTGCGCGAGGGACCGTGATTAAAGATTACGAAGGCGTGAACCTCCCCCGTGAAAGATACTAAAGATGCCGATGGAGTTACTCATTTAATGAAGTGTATCACTTATAACGCATCTTTTTTTTTTTTATCTAAAAGTTAATCTATATTAATCTTATTTAAACCGCTACTGATGTGCTAAAACAAAATAATTATGCACTGTAAGTGAAGCGCCGTTTCCTCAGCCGCCGGCAGATGAAATTAAAAACATATCCTCTCGTAACTATAACTGCGAAATGGCAATTTTAGTCAGTGCGCTGCACCAAATTCACCCCATTTCTCTCTTATCGTGGCGCTTTCATTGAGCGTTCATCCTTGAATAGCGCGCTGTTATATTGAGCTGATTGATATGCATACGTTTCTGCGGGCCATTCTGGCCGATGCGCCATAATAGGCGTATATGGGAATGAATCAAATGTGGAATCCATGGCCCGGAATGGGAAAGATTGAACCGTTGAAACAGAAATCACAATTTCAGATATGCTGGCGATAAAAAAATCAAATGAAAAAATGCAGAAATTCATATAATATAAATAGATTTAACACATATTTTACTCGTAAGTAATTTTATATATTAATGCAAAATATATATTTTTTCTTATTTTTGTAACTTTCTCAAAATATATTTTTTTCTTAACAAGCTATGTAAACTTAGAAAAAATAATTTATCTCCATTTAGTATTCTTAAAAGAGCTTATTCGTGGTATATTAAGTCATTTTAGTGATGCACACAATTATTGTCAAATCATAACCAAGATAGAAAAACACCAAAGAGTAAACGATAAGTCAAAACAGAACAGTGATGGCCGGAGACGATAACCGAAGGTTAACGAACTTGAAAACTGTATTATGTGCATAACTGGACCAGGTTGCGTTTATGCATGACGACATGATTTATTTGCGGCTATAAATCGAGGCTAAGCTACAATAGCTCGCTAGCTAGAGAGATATAATATCGATGGCGCGTTTTTTCTTGTTAATTAATGAGTATGGTGACCTATTCTTTGAAACGCATATTGTTAACGTATTTGACTTGGCTTGCCTTAACTTAACTTCAAATCCGCCGGATTGTATGAAATTTAAAAACAAGTAAAACGTTGCGAGACAAGTTGCTGCGTGTGACATGCCAATCGCAACTTAACTGGCATAAATTTGTTTTATGCTCGTTTGGAAAAATCGAAAATTTTCGCTTTGCTCAACTTCAATTGTTTTATCTAAAAAAAATACAAGCACTAAATAGCACTAAATAACGAACTGTAGTCTATTTTAAAGAACCATAGATTTGAGAATTCAACATAAACGTTTTCTTTCCCTAAATCTGGACCAACCCAAACTGCAATACAACTGGAATAAGGCTTCGTTATTGACCGATACGACCCCCTAAGTCGTTTGTGACGAGCTGCGGCGACAAGTTGTCTGGTTAGACCGCGGTTTAATACTAAGCCAACCCATGCCTGATCAGTCGTATTACTTTTACCAACCTGGGTTGTCTTTGTTTTCTTTTCACCGATTGTTTACACGGTCAAAATTTCCAAAGTCAACTTAATTTTATTTATAACTTGACTTATAACTTGACTTATAATTTCACTAACTGCTTAACTTAACAAATTGAAGTCTCACTACTTCGTCAGGAAATTGCTGTTATTAGAGAGATTTGAAAAGCACCACGTTATACGGCAAATGGAAAACGTCAGCTTGAAGTTAATTATCTTTACTTTTCTTCGAATAGTTAAATAAATCCATTACAAAAATCGACAAAATCGACATTCACACGTTCGTGACAAACTACTCACTTTCACGCAGAAACAACAAGCGGCAGACCGCAAAAGTGGGATTTTTGCCGTTCGCGGGAAAAACAAACGTGATGCTTAATCCCCAGGGCTTAACCTCTCTATTGACCCCGTTCGTGAGGAACCATGAGATTTAAATGATAGGGGACGTGAGCCTCCCCCGTGAAACATGCATTGCTTATAACGGAACTAAACTTAACTTAACGTCTCACTACTCGTCAGGAAACCGCTGTTATTGATCCAATTGCACGCACGCGACGAAGAACTTAATTCGGACGTCGACCGTGATTAAATTTACTTCTTCCCGCCTGAGGAATAGGGCGGGGATTAATGAAGCGAATCCATTTCTAATTATAAACCGCATCTTTCTTTTAGGACGCCAACTCGCTCGCTAAGCGGGGAGGTACCAAGGAGTCTCTCTTTTCTTCCAAGGACTTGAACTTTTATTCTTCACCAAGAAACAGCTTCTTCAACTATAAATTAACTTATAAACCCAAATGAACGTCCTAAATACCACGTGTTCTTGGGTTGGGTTCTTGGACCGTAGGAAGTGGGAAAACCTCCACGCTGCACTTAAACACTAACTGTCTTATCTTTGGGCGGGGAAACAAAGTAGGGGAAACGTAGGTTTCGATTGACCTGCTCTGGGAAACATGTTTGTTCTTTCTTAATGGGACGTGTGCCGAAAGTCATGTTTACACAGTTAAATATGTGGGTTTTATTTTCATCTGTGGTGAGACTTTCCTGGCTTCTAAATTATTCTTCATATATCTATTGAATTCTCTCAGGGCTATTCCTCCATATGAAACGTGTTTCCACATGCAGCCGGGTGATGGAGTCTCCATATACTGGGAATTAATCATATCCGGGATCCATGACATGGAATGGGAAAGATTGAACCGCTGAAACAGAAATCACGTTATCAAGGATTTCGGATCCGGATTGCTGAGATGCTAGCGATAAAATTAAATAGATAAATAATTAAATAAATACAGAAAACCATATAAATAAAGAAACCTAGCCATGAAACTTTCATAGCTTTTGATCTGGAAGAAATAGTTGGAGAGATAGAGAGTGGACTAAATGGATTTAACACAGTTACTCGTAAGTAAACTTAGTAATAACGTTTTATTATAATCGGCTAAATCAACTTGCTCGAAATACATCAGTTTCTTAACAAGCTATGTAAACCTAGAAAACGTTTATTTCTCTCCATTTAGTATACCATATATATAGTCAAAACAGCTTATTCGCGATTTATTAAGTCATTTTAATTTAGTGATGTACACAATTATTGTCAAATCGTAGAAAACCTAAAAATAATAGTTTACTAAGATAGAAAAATACCAAAGAGGCAATGATAAAACAAAAAGAAACAAGGATGGTTATGATCTAGAGATTACACGAAGGTCAACGAACTTGAAAACTCTCAGAACTTTCGGCAACTTTCTCAGTGCGCATATCTGGAGCGCTTGTACGTTCTGACATGGCGCCGGGTTAAAATTTATTTCGGGATAATCGAGGCTAAGCTATAGCGTGCTAGCTAGAAAGACAAATAGTCGTCTTCATTATTTTCAGTTTTTTGTTTTTGTAAACGAGTATGGTGACCTATTCTTTTAAAGGCATATTACTTAGTTTACTTAACTTCCGTGACTTAGGTTTTCTCTAGCTGTGGTTTGGACAAACTGTTTTCACGGGGCAAAGTAACCACGGTAGACTACAGAAAACCCGCGCAAAGCTAAAATTCAAGTCAGTTGGATTTTAAAAGATAGCTGGGTCATCAGTTTGTCGCTATTTTTAAATTTGCTTTTTGCGTTTTTTGTAGTTGGACTGTTAATTTTTCTTAATTGAGTGGCACGGAGGAAGTTTATGGTCTCATATATTCGGCACGAAAACAATCATTCCACTTCGCCAGATAAATGTTTTTGTTAAACGCGCCGGCCGGCATGAAAATAAAGAAACTGACAGGAATCAGTTGTACCCTGAATATCGAACATTTTCGTCAAACAAGTTTAGTATGTGCTTGTCAGTTTTGATTGAGGTCGCTTTGCGCAAACTTTACTGAATGATACATTCTCGCGAGGAAAAAAAATAAAAAACAACAGGCGTCCCGAGCTGTTCTTGTTAGAGGGTAGACACGTTTATTGAAGAAGACCACGTGACTTAGTAGTGACGTAACGTATCATGGCAAAGTTAAATAAATTTAGCTTAACTTAATTTAACTAAATTTCCGTCAGGAAGTCGCTATTAATGATCCCAACAGGATTCGAACCCATGACCTTTGCGATTTCGGTGCAAACGCTCTACCACTGAGCTATTGGAGCCACTGGGAGCTTCAAGTCACGTGGTGATGAATTGAAATGGCGATGGTTAATATATGAAATAATTGATATATTTGAACTGCGGTGGAAAGAACGAAAGATAATGATATATTCACAGTAGAAACGTAACTTAACTTCTCACTTCTCCGTCAGGAACTCGCCGTATATTGACCCCAAGAGCACGCGCGGCGTGATATGGAACACGTGTTGTTTTCAGTATATCAACTTGATTTAATCACGGTCGCCGTCACGTGCGTGCTCTTGGTGTCAATGACGGTGAGTTCCTGACGGAGTAGTGTTAAGTTAAGTTTATTACAATTATAAGTTAAGTTATAAGTTATAAGTTAAGTTAATTCCGCGTTTTCACGAGATATATAACTCAATATATGTCAGTTTTACGACGTCCTTTATTTTCGCTCGGTTTAGAATTTGCGATAAAAGGGTGCAACTGAAATTGAACGGTAATATGTTCGCCGGTAAACTGAGAAAAATACGAAGCGTCCAGATGGAAAAGAGAGAGAGAGAGAGAGTCTAATAATAATCAAACTGTATCAGCTTTTTAAAACACTACTGTGTCACCATCCTATATTACTTTGTGATATGCAATATGGTAAACAAGTGAGTAATACCTCGGCATTTCGTTTCCGTGGATTCATTTTCGCGAACCTTTAATTCTATCTTTGCGAGAGAAAAAAGCAGGCATCATTGAATTAACGAACTACAGACTATAGTATTTTATAATAAATAGCTTTGTAGATTCAACAAGAACCCCTGAAGGGATTACAAGCGGCCGATTTCCGGGGGGGGGGGGTGGGGCGGAACTCCCTTATTTTCGCTATATAGGAACGTGCAGCTGGACAGGGTATGGTCTTTGAGAATTTTGGTCTGGAACAGGGTATACCAAAAGGCATTTTTGGGTATCAGTTTCCCAGGAGTTGGCACGAAGATCGGTAATTGATACTCTGGCATAGGGTAGATGAAGTAGTCAGACGAAAGGAAACGCGTAGGAGTGTTAAAAAAAGCTTTACAACTACAACTCGCAGTGCTGCTTAGTAGTTTAGCCTTTTGGGTTAGAAAGAAAATCGTTAAGAATCGTCCGGAATAGGGTATCTTTTTTCAACATTTAGGGCCTGTTTACATGGAGGGAGGGTGACCCGGGTACCCGGGTTACCCTCCCTCCATGTAAACAGGCCCTTAGTCTGGAACAGGTTCGCAAAATTAGGGTTGTTATAGCCCAGCGGCACACCCCCACCCAAATTTTTTGGGAGAACCCCCCCGGGCCAATTTCACCTTGAGGGGAGAAAGAACAATGCACCCCTCCACCCCCTCGGTCAGTTTACTCTGAGGTTCTCCCGCCAAATCTAAGAGTCAACTTCGAACCTGCGTGACGAAAAACGTGACTGGGTGATGCAATATTTTGGCTAGCGTAAGTTTGAGCTTAGGTCAAGTTTACTGTGTAGAAAATTTTAGCTAATGTCAATTGCATCATAATCAACAAGGGCACAGATGTGTTTTCGCTCAACGTGAAAATAAATTGTGAATGACATATATGCTGTGGAATTGTGTAAGAAAAACTGTTATGTTTTTGGGACCGAGTTTTATCGTTCGTTTAATGAGGTGCATGTATTAAACAGAACAGAAATTATCTAGTGGCTATTTATTTGCATGTCTCCTGGCTACGTTTACAATGTAATGGGCTCACAATGCAATGCAATGTCAACTGGGGAAAGTGCAGTGAAAGAAACAAGTAGTCACGCCAGTCTCGCTAAAGTCCGCAGTTTGCGTGAAACCGGAAGCCGATTCCCCGCTAGGATCGAATAACGCGCACAGGTCACACCGCCAAATTTAGCACATTTTGCAACAACACTGCTGTTCCTTGCTGTGGGACATTTGTCTTTGCTTTTTCCAATGCGATTACTGTAATAAACTAAATACATCTACGCACTTACACGACACTACAGAAAGAATGTGGAAGAGAAATTCTCTACTGGCTAATTTTAGACCGAGATGCGATAACATCATGTCAACCGTGAAGAGGACTAAGGCTAGCGACATGAAAAAAAAAGTCCATTTCTTGAAGCGGCCGCTGCGCATGGGCCGCTTAATAATACTATCGTTTCATCTCGATAAATCTAACGAAAATAAAACCCGACACGACAAAAATAACAGGGGCTACGTAGGATAAGTTAAAGGAGCTATGTCACGATATTTTAAGTCATTTTTGCGAAGTGCAAAATCACCTATAAATTAAAGAAGGCCCCGAAATAGTTGTTTACTAAGGTAGAAAAACACCAAAGAGGTGATAATAAACCAAACTGGAACAAGGATGGCTTAGGATGGACAAGATTAAGACGGATGGCGAACGGCGAACTTGAAAAAAAATAGCCAATTTTTTCAAGATGTGCCATCCGTGACATAGCTCCTTTAAACAAACTACTATACATAGACTTAGGGTTTACATTCTATATATTTATGGCAAACGGCAACAATAGCTTGCCGTGGATTATGCCTTCTTCTCAAATCATTTGCTATCCAAAAAATTAAAGCTCGAAAATATTTGCTGTTAGAAACGGCAAAAACTGTAGCAATTTTTTGCAGTTCACGGACAAACAAACGTGACGCTTTTATCAGTAATTTCTCTGATGTCACGACTTATTAAAATAACAACCATTTAAATCAGTCCGGTAAGCAATGTGCAAAAATATATTACCGTCAAAACGTAGAAAACCTCTAATAATAGTTCACCATTTTAGGACTAAAACAAGCTATGATACACCAAAAACGAAACATTGACAAATTTTGGCACAATTTTTCGAGATATGTCGCGTAAAGAAGCCACATTTTAAAATTGATTTCCCCTTTTCCCCTTTTAGCAAATATGTTTAACAAGTGCTTGACCCGTTTAACTTTTCGCCCACTTCAGTTATTAGCCAAACGGGTTCAGTTAACAGCTATTGTAGCCTCCTACGCTAAACGCAGATGTTATTTAAAGCAGCATACGCAGACGCAGTAACACGTTTATAATCAGTGCCTTTTGTTTACGACACATCAACACGTTACTGCATCTGCGTATGTTGCTTGTGCTTGCTTCCCTGATGCGCCTAAATAATGTAAAATTAATTATCATTTTGAAATTGAAAAGGTAAATTCACCGAAATCTGATGTTTCGAGCGTTAGCCTTTCGTTAACTCTTTAGCTTTGCTCCGACGAAGGGCTAACGCCAGAAATGTCAACTTTCCAAATTCGCTGCGCCGGGCGGTTTAGAACAGTTTCTTTAGGTCCTTTAGAAACTAATCACTTCGTAACTTGCTTTTACGTTAATATGTCACGTGTTTTCCTTTATCTGTAGATTGTGGTTACGTCCTTGCTGTATTGTATGGAAGTCGGAACAAACCCAACTGCGGCCCTTAAGCTTAGGAACTTCAGCTCACATTTCCGTCAACACAAACGATGTACCGGTGGCAATCTTATTAAGATTGACACTGCTCAATGTAAAGTTTCTAACGGGAAGCGGCAGTGCAAAGCAAAATGCAATGGCTCGCAAACCAGTGACCCTAAAACGAGTGAGTAAAAAAAATAGTTGTTCCTATTTTAACCCCTGCACGTGCCTCTTTAAGTCGAATGCCGGTTTAAATAATTAGTCTACCTAATATTTGCTACTAACAAAACAAAGAAGTAAACAAATAAACAATTGGCACTGAAACAAACAAACAAAACAAACAAACGAAACAACAAAAAAGACGACAGAAAGTGATAAACAAACGTCAAGACGAGTAAACGGGTCAAGTGAGGCCTTAAACTACTGTATTTTGTAGCTTAAGGCCTCACTTGACCCGTTTACTCGTTATTCAAGATGCTACTGAAGGACAACTTCAAACGTATCGTAAACGTCAATACATTTATACAATTATAAAGAAACCAAAGCAGTTTACCCTGGCCTCATTAAGCGGGTGACACCCATGAGACACCGCGACACTATGATTCACAAGCTTTTGTAAATACGTGAAGTGAATTTTGGTTAGTTATTAGTCTCGCAGGAAATTCAGATAACCGTTCATCAACGGTTTCATGTATGAAGATAGAGTTGCTTGATTACAGTCTTATGACTGACGAAGGTAGACCGTTGTGGAGAGGTCTGGGTGTAATGTTATTTTCAGCTTTTCGCTAATATATAGTCCTAAAGTGCATTTCATTTATCAAAGAATTTAAGATCGTGGAAAACAGTGGAAAGAAGTGCATTCAAATTACTGATGACCAAGACGGTACTAAATATGCACTGAAGGTCATCAACGGAACGAAGGTTACTTTTGAGGTGAGTTAAAATCAACCCAATACAGGAATAGGAAAAGTTAATTTTAATTTGAGATTATAGGCCTGAGTGGAAGACGCGCATCGAAGACCGGATCGAGCGGTCTCGGATCGAGCCCTGGCCGGGGTCGTTGTGTTGTGTTCTTGGGCAAAACACTTTACTCTCACAGTGCCTCTTTCCATCCAGGAGTATACATGGGTACCGGCGACAAATTGCTGGGGGTAATCTGCGATAGACTAGCATTCCATCTAGGGGAGTAGCAATACTAGTGGGCCACTAGGCTCGTGAAGACTTTACATATAGGTGCCTTGGACAGTATTTGAAAAGTTGCAAGAGGAATACAATGACGGGACCACCCGTTTGAGAGCATGTTGGGTTGATTGTAGTCTCTGATTCTGGCACCGGTTTACAGCACCTGTGCTCTGTTGGATCGATACTGACAACCTACTCAGTTGATGATGTGAAATAAATGCGGCATTTAGGGCCCGGCCGCACTAGGCGAATTTTTGTTTGCTTTGCAAAAATATCTGTCATCTGTTCCGTTTCACAAGTGCGAACGGCGATTTTTTTCCTACCAAAATTTTGTCAAGCCTTACCAAACTTCAAAGGCGCCGTCGTCCTGCCCCAGAGCAGGACAAAATTTTGTCAAGCGTCAAAACTGACAGATTCGTCAATTCACACACATTAATCTCAAG